ATATATATATATATATATATATATATATAACTAACGACATACAACAAGAAAAAGAAATATGAAAAAAAGTAATATATATCTTCTGATTTAGAATGTTGAGCTTCACAAACAAACAGCATTCTCTCTACTGTATGTTTGATGAATATTGTAACTTCTCATATTATCGTTTCTACAGGATAACAATGGTTTAGTCAACAAGCAGATTTTTTCCATCATTTTCTCAGCAATAAAATTGATATTATTTTCTCCTTCAAAAGAATTGTGTGTGTCAATATTGAGCCCGTGCACGGGCATTCCCTCTCTAGTATCGTACTAAATTTTTTATGTATTAATTAATGGGAAAATTATGCGGTGAAGCAAACTTATACTATTTAATTACTCATCATACCTATACTTTGACAAAATTCCAATTGCTTTCAATGTTGACTACTTGATTTTATGAATGGAAGATAGTAGTAGTTTACAGAGAAAAATCGTTTTACAGAGAGAAAAATATTGTATTTATTTCTTATGCACATTATGAATGATTACAAGCTAACATTCTGCTATATATATATGTACAATTATACTAACTAACAGTGCCAGTAGACCAATAGAACGTTGACAGTTGTATTAGGAATAACTGACTCAACTAATCAGCCTAACAAGTAATTTTACAAATTCAAGACTTGGCAATACTCTTTGCATATTCCTCAATAACCCCCGTCAAGCTAGGGGATATGAAAATGTTCTTCATCCCAAGCTTGGATATAAGATACTCGTGTTGAGCTCGTCCCAAACCTTTAGTCAGCACATCAGCAGGCTGTTCAGAAGTAGACAAGTATTGAATGGTCACAAGACCTTCTTGAATCTTCTCCATAATAAAATGACAATCAATGTCAATATGTTTAGTCCTCTCATAGAAGACAAGATTAGAGGCAATTTGAATAGCAGCAGTACTATCACACTGAATTACAACAGGCATAACAATAGAAATGCTTGGATCCTCCCAATCCCAAGTCTGAAATGATCTCTAATGCATATTTCCTTTGATGCATAAGAAATCCTTTATTGTTCCTTGCAAACTCTATCCCTAGGAAATATTTTAATGGTCCTAAGTCTTTGATCTTGAAGTTGTTTTTCAGAATTTGCTTAGTGTCATCAATTAGTTCAGTGCTACTATCGGTAACCAACAAATCATCAACATATATCAAAACAATCACAATGCCTACACTTGACTTCTTGATTAACAAAGAATAATCCAAGTGACTTTATTGAAAACCAGAAGCCATCAATGCTTGAGTCAATTTTACATTCCATTGTCTTGAAGCTTGTTTAAGACCATAAAGTGACTTAAAAAGCTTACAGACAGGTTGAACTTCAGTGTGCTCATGAATGAATCCTTGAGGCATCTGCATATATACCTCCTCTACCAGAATACCTTTTAAAAAAGCATTATATACATCCATTTGTTGAACATCCCACCCTTTGGTTGCAGCTAGAGTGAGGACTGTCCTAACTGTTACCATTTTAACAACCGGAGAAAATTTCTCCTGATAATCCAACCCTTCCTGCTGATTGTAACCTTTGGCCACTAGCCTGGCCTTAAATCCTACAACTGTACCATCTGCCCTTGTACTTAATCTTGTACACCCATTTGTATCCTATAGCCTTCTTCCCATGAGGGAGTGGCACTATCTCCCAAGTCTTATTGTCCTCAAGTGCTTGTATTTCTTCTTTCATGGCTGATATCCATCTCTTGTCTTTGACAACTTGATGGTAAAACTATGGCTCAGTGTCAATTGAGATGTTGGCACTGTAACCTTGATATGTATGAGACAAGTTGTTGTAGTCAATACTATCTGTAATAGAATACATACAATGGGACTGTGATTTTGACTTGGTGGCAGTCACAAAATCTTTTTGCCACAATGGAGGTCTAGAAGACCTGTTGGAATGTCTCCTGCTTATTGTAGAACTCATGACAGGTTCCTCAGTGATAGCAAGAAGTTGCAGCTGTGTTTGAAGATTATCCTCAAGTATTGAATCCTCTAGAACAAGATCATTTTGGCATTCTTCATTATTAGAATAATGTGCATCAGGGATGATTGTCAAAGGTAATTGACCTGGAACCTGAGAGTCATTAGTTGATATAATATCTTGTAAGCCATTATTGACATTAGTCTGAAAGGAAAAACAGATTCATTAAAAATAACATCTCTATTAATAAAGAAAAATTTATTTTGAAGGTCATATAACTTGTAACCCTTTTGTGTAATCCCATAACCCATAAAAACTAATCTGATAGCTCTTGGACCAAATTTATCTGCCCTTTGTAAGTTGGTTGCATGACACAAACATCCAATGATCCTCATATATGACAAGTCTGGTTGTCTATTGAACATCATTTCAAAGGGGGACTTGTTGCTCAATACAGTTGAAGGAACCCTGTTAATAATATGCACTGCAGCTAAGACACAATCTTCCCAAAACTTGATAGGAATATGTCCTTGAAATCTGTTAGCTCTTGTTGTTTTCATAATGTGTTTGTGTTTCCTTTCAACTACACCATTTTGTTGAGGTGTGTGTGGACAGGAACTCTGATGAATGATTCCTTGAGAAATAAACAATTCACTCACTTGTGCATTAAAAAATTCTCCACCATTGTCTGATCTAAAACATTTTACTTGGATATTATATTGAGTCTGAATCATGTTAAGAAATTGTTTCAATATGGTAGAAACATCAGACTTAAGATGCATCAAATAAATCCAAGTCCATCTAGAGTGGTCATAAACCAAAGTAAGAAAAAACTTCATTTTATTATGAGTTGCAACTTTGTAGGGTTCCCATATATCCATGTGAATTAGATCAAAACAATGTGAATTTCTATTTCTGCTAATAGGATATGGCAATCTAATTTATCTAGCTAACGGACAAATGTCACAACATTGTATCACAAAATCCCTTTTATTTGCAAACATATCTATCTTTCTAATCACACTCATAGGAATGTGTCCTAGTCTCTTATGTCAAATATCACCATCATGGGAATCCTTCGAAGTTGCAACAAAACTCCTATGTTGGCCGGTATCTAATAGTTGACAAGGTTTTAGGATGTATAGACCACCATCTTTTTCACCAATCTCCTTCACTTTCCCAATGAAGAGATCCTGAAGAAGAAAAAAATCAGGGTAAAAAATGGCACAACAATTTAGCTGTCTAGTCAGTTTTACCACTGAGAGAAGATTGAAATTAAATTTTGGTACATATAATACATTTTTAACTACATCACCTCTTTGTAGTTGAGAACAACCTTAGCTGAGTCACCATTTGGAAGTTGTACCTAACCTGAACATTTCACTGTTAATCCATGATTCAATAAGCTCCCAGCCCCAACTATATGATCAGTTGCCCCACTATCTACAATCCAATTGAAACTAGATGTTGAGGGAATAGATACAGATTTGCCTGCAAAAATACCTGCTATATTGACACTACGATTTGTTAAATTTGCAGCATTTACATCATGGATTAATGGTTTGTTCAACATTTGAAGAACCTGATTGTATTGATTTGGTGCAATGTATGGAACTGAGCCAACTCCAAATCCTGGATTAATACCAAAATACTGTGGCATCTGATTTGTAATCCCTCCACTGAATTGCTGCATCTTGGACATAGGATTCAAGTAACCATCATTCATACCTCCTGGAATGTGAGGATGAACTCCAGAATCTGATGTCACAAGGTTTGTTATTTTCTTCCCCTTATAGTTGAGAGGATAACATATCAACTGATAGCAAACTTCTTTCAAATGGTCATGCTTGTGACAATGAGTACAATACTTCAATTTATTACAATCAGCTCAATTATGACCTTTCAAGTCACAATGATCACAATACAAATTACTTCCTCTCTGTGGTCTATGAATTTTCCCATTCCCTTGACCTTGAAAACTGTCATATCCTCCAGATCCAGGACCTCGAGATCCTTGATTTTTAAAACTACTTCCCCCAGGCCTGCCAGTGAATAATGCAGTCGGATCGGTTAAACACCAATATGATATTCATCACTACTTAATTCTCTTTGACTTTCATCCTGAATTATCATTGCATATCAATGATTTACAGTAGGTGGTTCACTCATCATTAATATCTGACTTCTAGCATGACTATAGTTGTCATTTAAGCCCATCAAAAATTGCAGAAGTATCTGCCTAAACATACTATCCATATACTTCTTAGACGTTGCACAATTACAAGAGGGAGGGGGAACAATCGAATCAAATTCATCCCTTAAATCCTTCAATTTAGACTAATAGACTGAGACAGAAGAATTACCTTGGGTGTGTGTAACAATTGTTTTGTGTAGATGAAAAATTCTGGACATATTAACCTTATCAAATTGTTCCTTTAAATCACTTCATACCAATGCTGCATTTGAACAGAAAAGGATTCCACTCACCAGTTCCTCGCTCACATTTCTCATCAGCCATGAAATCACCATCGCATTGCATAGATTCCACTATTTTTTCTCAATATCAACAGTGTATCCTTCTCGCTTGATATTACCATCAACAAAACCCAATTTGTTCTTAGTTAGCAGAGTCAGTTCAATTGCTCTGCTCCATAATGTGTAATTCTCCATTCCTGTGAGTTGAATACCAATTTGCATTGCTCCTGGTACATCTGAAGGTGACAGATACAGAGGATGATTATGGTCGATTTTTCCTACCATTGTTGCCTCCTCAGTTTTGCTGATTCAAATGTAAAAAAAAAACTGTAGATCTTCAAAAATTGTACTCCTGCTCTTATACCATGTCAAAATTTCAATTGTTTTCAAAGTTGACTACTTGATTTTATGAATGGATGATAGTAGTAGTTTACAGAGAAAAATTGTTTTACAGAGAGAGAAATATTGTATTTATTTCTTATACACATTATGAATTACAAGCTGACGTTCTGTTATATATATATATATATATATATATATATATATATAT